GACTTACGCAGGATGAATAATTTTAAGTTTCACACCTGCTTTCTCAACGTTGCGCCACCTAGCGTGAACGCTTAAAGCTTGCCAATTGTTTAGGTTAGCTATATCATATATATTAATCTATGTTAACCAGCACAAACTACATTTATCTAGTCAGGCTAAAAGTCAATATTGCGCCGTGTTTTCTTCTATTAGCACAGACGGGGCCAAACTCATTCATTCAAATATGATGAGTATATGTCTTGCGGCTTCATCAGCTAGTTCCTGCTCTTTCCCTTTGAGTAAGAGGATATTCAAACTTCTGACTGTGAGCTCTCACTGACGGAATCGTTCTTGTGGAACATTCCCTGACCTTGCCAAAATGGCATCATCTTTTTAGCATACCTCATTGAAACGTGTAACGACTCTGCTGCTGACTGTACCTTCATCATCTTCGCGTACGTCTGTGGCAGCCGTTGCCGTGCTGCCACAACCCAGCTGCTAGAAGGCGTGCAACAGATTCTGATCATCGATTGCCAGTACCCCAAGAGTACGCGCTGTCTTTGGTACCTCAGGTGACGAAGAAACCCATAAGGCGTTCGATAACGCCTTATCGTGCGGGACAGGTGGACGAATTCCACAAAAGACATCGCCATAGCTCCCACCCTTCATCTGTCATCTCAGAAACGACGCAGTTTAGATCTGTCGATCTGAAATGAAATCTATCTTCAATATGGATACCTGAGACTAGTGGGATGAATCGCAGGTTCAGATTCATGCAATTCTTCTGAAGATCATCATTGACTTCATGTATGTTTCTGAAAAACTGCATAAAAAGTTTTAATTTTGAACTGGAGACGGTTTGCTAGCTTATTATGACGGAAGTGTTCAATTGATCATATGCATATGAATAAAATGATACCATTTTATATTTTATAGCACCTGTTTGACCTGAAACTACTCTACAATGTTCCTTGTAGCATAGTTTGCTCTGCAAAGTGCATTCTGCTTTGCCTTAGAAAAAACTGGTGGGTGTGATAAATGAGTAGTAACAGCTTAGTACCTAGTGAATGAGGTAGCAGCTGAATACTCACGTCTTCATCAATGGGCAGATTAACATTCATCCAATCTGTCTCGTCAAAAGGCTTAAGTGCTAAAAACAGACGCTGAAGGTAGGGACTGTTCATATTTTTCAAGAATAATGGACGATACTCTGATTTCAAACCCAGACCCAAGGATTTTATGCCACCGTCCGTATTACCAGAACTTAGAGCGACAATTCAGAAGCTTGCAACGGAAAGAAAGTAATAACGTCCAATGCCCCTTGGATGGTCAAGACTTGAAAATTCGACTTAATAACTTTTATCCTCCTCTCTGACTTGCTTGCGCGAACGGCCGCGCCACAGCCGCAAGTCGACATTCCGGAACTCTCCTCGGTGTTGAACTGTTCCCGATATCTTCTGCTTTCACCGCTGACCAAGTACCTTCGTCATTGGGTCCCAGTGTGTTGGTAGGCGATTGAATGGTTGCCTGCTGTCAAGGGGAATTCAGAAAGTAGCACGGATGTTCATCTGCTGTCCTTCGGAGGAGCAACATGGCCAGTCCATCTTTTCAGGTAGCAGTGAGTGCATCCAAAATTGTGACAGACATTGAATTGTCAGACCTAGACCATGGTCTCGCGTATTTTTCTTTTCATCGCCCTCTGCGCTACTGCCTCTTTGTTTTTCCCAG